GGGCCATTGCCAGCGCTCTTGACTTTTGTCTTGCTACTGGATTGTGATGACTCTGAAACGGAGAGAGGCCGAGGACTTTGTGCAACTCTGTCTCACTTAAATCCAATTCAGTGCAATTTGACACATCGCTCAGTGATGTCATTGGTCCTCTTCAAAAACAAAGGATGAACAAAAACAATCCAACCCCCAGGAGATCATAAACTCCTCCAGGCAGGGACCATGCCGTCTGACATTATTTTATTCTCCTTGTTGTTGAGCACAGCAAGCTAATACATGTTTTGGTTGAGAGCAGATTTCCCTGTGTGACCTGGGCGGGACAAGAGTGGATGCTCAGCTCTTCTGAAGCCATGTCAGCTCCATTTTATTGCCTGGCCCAACAATACAAGTTAGTATTTTTTTTTCTAATTTCTTATATATTCTTATATTTCTTACCTCTTTCCAGGAAGGTTTTTTTTTCTTCTAGGCATGTGATTCATGGGTATATTTCCTCACTCCTAGTAAGGAAACCTATGCAAATCTGCAACTGTACAACCGGACACTAAGACATTAAGTGACTTTACCTAGTGACACCACCAATTCGTGTAAAAGACAGAACTGGAACCCAGGTCTTCCTGATGTCAAGGCTGATTCTCTATCTGCTACAGCAGAGATATTTTTTGTTAGGTCAAGTATTTCCTGACTTGTGGCTTTAAAAAGCTTAAATTGGGAAAGGGTAGGGGATCATCTTTTGCTAAAAACAAAACAAAACAAAATAAAAAATACACAAAAAACCTTGCTAATTTATCCTGTTTGTGCAAAATACCCAAGTGTCAAATTAGAAAATACCTGTGAAATCTGAGACAGGGCTGTAAAAGCTGAAACAAAACACCTCTTTTCACAAGGAAGATTTTTACTACTAAGATAGTAATGAAAATATTTCAGTTATACTTAGTACAACTTGGTTTTCTGTGGTTATTTTATCCATTGAGGATAGCAGGGTTTTGCTTTTTTTTCCTCCAAGGTGAATATTCTCTGATTAAAAATAGTCCTGTTCCCCTTCCTTCTACATGTGTTACATGACCTAGATATGTATAGACAGATGATATTCTCATGCAAATCGGCTCCATGGCTGGAACGTTGGCTTTTCAGAGAGGGCACAGCAAAAGCCAGGGATCATCAGAATCATTGTGCTGAGAAAAACCTGCATGTCTTTGCATCTTGTAGCTTCCTGAAATAGCTCTAACCAAAGTAAAACTGGGCTTATGCTTTCTTTCAAAAAGGAAAGTTGTCCCTCAGCTCTGAGGATGTTTGAGCTGACCTCTTGAGAGGTTTGGGTGGCATGTGTGTATTTTTTCCCATCCACCAGCTCCTTAGGAAAAAACTGCTGGCTGCTGCAGGTAGGTTGAATGGATTTGGAGCCAGGGCACCGGGCTTAAATCTTGTCTCTATGAATGACTGTGTTGCCTTGGATAAGTCTCTTCCCCTCTCTCAGCCTATTTCTCCAGCTGTCAAATGAGGGGGTTGGACTTTGATCTCTATGGTCTTATCCAGCACAGAGGCTAAGATCCTAAATCAGAATTGCCCAAGAAAAGTAATAATAATAAGTTGATTTGCCCAACACAGCTCTGACCAGCACTGGATAATCACAGACCCTTAGGCCTTGCCACTTTTGTGAAATACCTGTTAATAATTTTCAGGTGATTGTTCTTGTTTGGACTTGTCGTTTGTAATTTCCAGTCCAGCAATGCCTCCTCACTTTTTTTCAGTCTCCTTGGGGGCAGTATGGTACTCTTAGAAGAGTTGGTAAGAATGGGGTTTGTGTCATAGCTACAGTAATTACTAAATGTGTAAGCAATGGGTGAGCCATTGTAGATACAGGGAGCAAGGGAGGGTTGGCAAGTATCTTTGAGATGAGAAGTAAAGGCTGGCTTGGGAGAGCCTTGGGGGAGGACACCCACTAAGCTCGCTATCTATGTGGATGTCATAAGCCTTCACATGAAAGAGCCTTGCTAATTATTAGTTATCTGGCTGTCCCCGTGAAGACTAAAAAGATCCTTTCAAAGGAATCCTGGTTTTGGCCCTGATTATGGATAGTGAATTTATACTATATGTGAGCAGGTGGGAAAATGTCTGAAGACAAAGGCTCTTTCAACAAAGTTGGTCTGAACCTGAGGGTGGGAGTGGGAAAAGCTCTGATCATCACCTTTGCCATGGGTCAGTGGTGGGCAATGAATCACCCAGTGGTGAGTCAGTGTGGGGGAACAGAAAGAGAACACTGAATTTGGAATCAAAGGACCTGGGTTCAATAAGCACAGTTCCGCTACTTACGATATATTCAACTTTGTGCAAGTTATTTCATTTCTTTGGGCCATGGGTTTCTCCTTAGTCAAATGAGGGGGGTTGGACTTGACTAGCAGTTGGTAACCTGAGGTCCATGAGTTTGTGAGCTTGGATGGAAAAAAATTATATCTTTATTTCAATAACTTCTATTTTATATATTTTCAATATTTTAATTTATTTTATTTTATGTTTTATCATATTTATTTTCAATAACTTATAACTCAAAGTTAGCATTTACACACACACACAGACACATGTGTGTGTCTGTGTCTATGTATGTGTATGTGTATGTGTATGTTCTGAGAAGGGGCTCATAGGCTTTACCAGGCTGCCAAAGGTCCATGGCACAAAACAGGTTAGGAAGCCTTGAATTAGACATTCTCTAAGGTCTCTCCCAGTTCTAGAGTCCATGACCTTAGATGTAGCTGTGGCTAGGAAGAGGAGACAAAGACTCTATCTCAGGCACTGGAAGCCTCGTAAGGCCTAGTCACCAGGGAGGACCTACTTGGTCTGTTGATGTAGGCAATTTCTTTCTTCCTTTTTTTTTTTTTTTTGAGTTGGCAATTTCAAGTTTACTGAGTTTGGAACCATCTCCAAAGAGTCAGGAGGATACCCTCGTGTAGGGGCCAAGGAGGCTAAATCCTGCCTCATCTGGAGTGGTAGAATGGAGAAGCAGACAATAGCTGGAATACTGTATTCAGTTCTGGGTGCCAGAGTTTAGGAAAGGAATCAAAAAATTGGAGGGCATCCAGAGGAAGATAGCCAGGAATGTGAAGGGCCTCAAATCCATGCCACATGAAGATCAGTTGAAGGAACTGGGAAAGTTTATCCTGGGGAAGAAAAGGCTGGGGAAAAAGGGGTGTGTGTGTATGTGTGTGTGTGTGTGTGTGTGTGTGTGTGTGTATTGGGGGGAACAAAAGCGGTGTCTTCAATTATTTGAAAGGCTTTCCTGTAGAAGAGGGATTAGATTGTTCTATTTGGCCCCCTCAGAGAGTAGAACCAATGATGACTAGAATTTACAAAGAAGTAAATTTGGCTTAAAACCAGGGGGGAAACCCTGAACTTCCTAATATTAGAGCTTTTCCAAAGTAGAAGCAGCTGCCTTGGGTAATAGTGGGTTCCTTATCACTGGAGTCTTCAAAGACTATCCTGTACCAGATATGTTGTGGTGGGGAATTTTTTTTTCCAGTATGAGTGGGCTAGATGGCAGGTTAGATCCATTCCTGCTCTGAGATTCAGTGACAGTGAGATCCTGAAAGCTGGACAGCAACTACAAGGAGAAGGAAAACACTTAACCTCAAACTCATTTCCATGTCTTTTACCTTATCTCTGCTTTTGGTAACAGAGTTTGTTAAAATAAATTGTTGCTGGAATTCATTCTCCCTTGTGGTAGACAATGTGACACCAATTTTCCAGGCACAACCGACGGTTTATGCTCCAATGTCTAAAAGTACAAACTAATTTTTTAATTAGAATTTAGAATTCAGACTCCTTGTCTCATCTCTGTCAATAAGTAGTGATTTGGACCATGGGACTAATAGTATATGACTGATATTTGCACATCTCTTTAAGATTAACAAAGCACTTTCCCATAATGGGATGGGTGGTAGTTATATTATTACCCTTATTTTACAGATGAGGAAACTGAGACCCAGATAAGTGAAATGACACAATCACATAGGCTACAAGGGCTGGCTGGTGTGGGAGCTAGGAGGGACCTTTGAGGTCATCTACTCTAACACTTTCATTTTACAGATAAGGAAACTGAGGCCCAGTGAAGGGAAGTGTTGAACCAAGGTCACATTCAATTAAAGTAGTACTGAGCTGCCTCTCAGTTTCTATGCCCAGGCCAGAGATGTCTTTCGACACCAGGGAAATATTTAGATTCACAGGAATGCCAGTGGTGGAAGGGACCAGTCCAATCCCTTCATTTTATAGATAAGAGAACTGGGACCCCAAGAAGGGTCAATTGGTCCCTTGAATTTAAATATGTAGTGTTTTCCTTTCCCCCCTACTTAAAAGAATAGACAGAGGAACAGGTTACTTACAGAGCACCCTAGTTTAGTTTCCCCTCAGTTTGCCAAATATCCAGTCTGGATCATTATAGATCATGTTCTAGAGCTGGAGGGAAGGACTGAAAATGACTGGACAAGTAACTTGGCCAAGGGTCACACAGCTACTAAATATCAGAGTTGAGATTTGAACTCAGGTCCTCTGATTCCTCAGAGGCAGTGTTCTTTCCACTGTACCATGTAAGAATGGTTCTCAGTACAGTCAGTCCTTGGCCAGACACTTCAGACAACAATACTGGATGGCCAGCCATGCTAAAGACCACCTTTTGGGGCTGACTTCTGAAAGGTCACATTTTTCAAAGCTAGCTATCAAGTGGAATATAGGATAGTATAGTGGAAAGAGTACTGGCTGAATAGTCAAGAGACCCAGTTTCAAGTCCTGGTCTGCAATTAGCACCTTTTATGATCTAAGGAAGTTATCTTTACAATTCTCTGGACCTCAGCTCCCTCACCTGCAAAATACTAATGTCGGACCAGATGATCTCCAAGGTCCCATCAAGACATAATAGTCGGGGGCAGCTAGGGGCATAGTGGATAGAGCACCGGCCCTGAAGTCAGGAGTACCTGAGTTCAAATCCGGCCTCAGACCAAACATTTGACACTTATTAGCTGTGTGACCCTGGGCAAGTCACTTAACCCCAATTGCCTAAAAAGAAAAAAGAAAGAAAGAAAAAAAAGACATAATAGTCTAAGGATCTATAAATACACTTCAGAAATGATTGTTGTCTTACTGGAAGGCTCTACACCTTCCTCCACACTGACCAATTGCCTACTAGAGATGATTCCCTTAGTGGAGGAATAACTTGACCCCACTGGGTTATGTATTGTGCGAGCTCCTGGCTGATGGGGAGAAGGGGCAGAGACAGAAGCTGACATTGCCTCTCATCTCCATGGAAGATGTGCCTTTTTCACTGCTCAGGGGCTGTCATTACAAAATCACAAGTCTTCCCTGGCTTGTGCCAACTCTCAGCGGCCATATTCTCGCTCAATGCTCGCCATCAGCTCCTCTTCTGAGCAGTCGTACAAGATGGGAGTTTGTCTTTCAGGCCTCTTGCTGCTTGTGGTAGAAGTCCTGTGGGTAAAAAGACATAGCAGGGATGTTTAAGAGCAAGGCCTGTCAGGTAGAGCACTGTTAGGGGGAGACTAGTCTTAGAGGGTAGAAATCTCAATTTGGTCCCATGGGATGGGCTCAGGCACACATCCCGAATGCATGTCCAGAGGCTCTAGGGCCAGCTGATTAAGAAAACTTTAAATAAAAATAAGTCTGGCCCAAAGCACAAATGCTATACATCACAGGATCCAAGAAACAGAGATTACCTAGTCTAATCTCCTCACTTACAGGTGAGGCACAGAGAACTTGTAAGTGTCATAGCCAGGATTTGAAAACAGGTCTTTAGATTCCTAATTCACCACTCTAGTTACATGCTACCTTCCCAGAGAATAAAACAGTGATAAAGCTGGAAGGGACCTTAGAGGTCATCTGAGTCATTCCCTTCATTTTATAGATGTGACTCTGGGCAATTCATTTAATGTCACTGAACCTTGATTTCCTCATCTGCAAAATAAGGATAATCAATCATACTTATGCTGCCCACCTCAACCCTTAAAGTGCTGTATCAATGTGAGCTGTTATTATTAGGAGTGGGGAAACTGAGGTCAAAGGAAGAGTTAATTTATTCAAGGTTACATTGTTAGTTTTGAGGTGGTTTTTTTTTTTTGGTAGTTCACATCTGGCCTCAGGCACCAGCAATGTGACCCTGGGCAAGTCACTTAACTTGTTTGCCTCAGCTTCCTCAAATGTAAAATGGGGATACTTACAGCACTTACCTCTCAGGGTTGTTGTGAAGATCAAGGGAGATATTTATAAAGTGCTTAGCACAGTGCCTGGAACATAGTAGGCACTTACTAAATGCTTGCTTCCTTTCTTCTAACTAAGGTAGGATGTGAGGTCCCCTCAGGCTCAGTTAGGTACTCTTTCCACTAAATTAAGTTGTCTAATGGTTCACTTAGGCCTCTTTGCCCATCTTGGTGAAAGATGGAAGCTCATAGGATGCAAGGGAAATAGCCCTTTTGTCTTTGGTTTCCTAGAATGAATGAATGAGAAGTATTTATTAAGCACTTAATATGTGTCAAGCACTGTGCTAAGCGCTGGTTATGCAAACAGAAAGAAGAGAGTCCCTGTTGTCAAGGAGGTAGCCAGGTGATACAGTAGATAGGGCATTGGACCTGGAATCAGGAGGGAGACAGGATTTCAAATCCTGACTCAGATGCTTACTAGCTATGTGACCTTGGGGAAGTCACATAACCTCTCTCAGCCTCAGCTTCCTCATCGGAAAAATAGGGATGATAATAATAGCACCTACCTCACAGTGTTGCTCATAAAGTTCAAATGAGATGAGATATGTGATATGCTCTGCAAACCTTACAGGGCTGTATAAATACTAGCTATATATATATATATATATATATTTTTTTTTTCCTAATGGGGAAGATAAAAGATTTAGGAAAGTTTAGCTTCTAAGTCTATGAAAAGGTATGGGTCATAAGGGTACAACTACAGGGTGGATAGCAAGGCCTGGGTGTCTGAACCCACCACCATTGGGAAGAGAGGAGTGGGCCCATGAGTTAGAGTGGAGAGAGGTTCTTAGATTTCCTCTGGCAGGGGTGGGGATTAGGGTTTGGTGTGTGTGTGTGGGAGTTGAATGTTAGAGATTGAGAGTGGGCTTAGACGGGGGAAAGATGTTGGCTTGTACCCATTATCACCATAGTGGTTTCTAATAACTGCACAGACACTATTTGGCTGTAGTGTGTGACTAAGGTCCTTGGAAGGACAAAGAGTTATTGCTGCCTGGTCACTAAATGCCTGCTGTGCCTTATGACCTCCGGCAGTATTTATAGCTGACCGGGAAAAGCACAACAAATAGGTGAGAAATGGGAGATGTTTTACTATGTTTTCATAGCAATTTATCCTTGTGATCAATGACAGTGAGACCATTATATTAGGACTCTAGCATTTCTGTCTCTAACATGCTGTACTGAGTCCAATTCAACGAGAATGTATTAAACATCTACTATACACAAGGTACTGTGTTAGATGTTGGGTATGCAGCTGGTTAGTCAACTAGCATTTATCAAGCACCTACTATGCATCAGACACTATGCTAAGTGCTGGTGACACAAAGAAAGGAAAAAGAGAGTTCTAAGGCGCTTCAGTCTAATGGAGGAAGTTCAGATGCGGTGAATTTGTAGTAGATCCAGGAACCTGATGCCTTTCAGCAGTGCTGGGTGACGACTGATGGTTGGTGAATGACAGGATAAAGGAAGCAGCATGGTAGAATGGAAAGGGCCTGTCTCTGCCAAACTGTTCCCTACCTTCATGGAGGTTACTTTCTACTAAGAAATATAACATAGAGACAGATAAGTAATATCTGAGGATGGAGACAATACTAACAGTGAGTGGGGTCCAGAAAAGCTTTGTATAGGAGGTGAAACCTGAGCCTGCGTTTTGAAGAAAGCTGAGGATTCTAAGTAGCAGAGGTAAGAAGAGTATGTATTCCAGGCATGGGAGAACAGACATGGAAGCAGAAAAGGGAATGTTGTGTTTGGGCAGCATCAAAGAGACTTGTTTGACTGGAGGGTGTGTGGGTGGGGTGGTGACTATGGTGGCATGGTCAGACCTATACTTTAGGAAGAATATTTTGGCAGTTGCATAAAGGATGGATAGGAAAAAGGAGAGACCAGAAGCAGGAAGAATAATTAGGAGGCTAGCTTTCTAATAATAGTCTAGATCTGAGATAATAAGGGCCTGAATTCAGGCCAACAAGGACTAGAGAGAAAAGATGGATATATTATGGAAGTAGAATGGATAAAGACTTGGAAACTGCCTGGATATGTAGTATAAGGAAGAGGATGACTTCACAGTTGGAAATCTGGATGACTAGAAGGGTGGTAGTATCGGGAGTGTGCTGGTAAAATGTATAACCACTGGGCTATCTGGAAAAAATGCACATATATTTCTAAGTTGAATCTATATCATTAACATTTTCTTAAGTCTAGATAATCAACAAAACAATAAACCAAGCCCTGATTTGTAGAGGTTGGTGATTTCTAAGGTATAAATACTCACACTTGAAATCTAATAATCTTTCAAGCTGGTTAGAGCTGGCCCCAGCAAACTGCTGGGTGTTACCCTCAACAGAAATAAGAAAAGCTTAATAACAGGTAAGTTTGGGGGATGGGAGAGATAATGAGTTCTATTTTGTATGTATTAAGTTTGAGATGTAAGTGGAATATCTGGATGAAGATATCCAGCTGGTTGTTGGTGATAAGAAATTCAGACTCATAGGTCTAGATACATACATTTTGCAGTCATCTGAATAGAGATGATAATTCAACTCGTGGGAACTGATGAAATCACTAAATGGATATAAATATAAGGTCAAGGACTAGGAAAGTGACTCCAGGTGGGTTTGGGAGGGATAGGAGTGATTTGAGGGGCTGGTACTGATATGATGATTAAAAGTCTACTAATTGTCTGCAGAACAATCATGTTCTAAGGGCTGGGCCCTCATTGGCTAATATCCCCATTATACTGGTAAAAACAGGATTTCCATGATACTTACTCAAAGGTGTTATTGTTCTCTATATCCTGAGTGCTCTGCACAGGAGATACCTTGGGAATAATAAAATGAAGGAGCATCAGAGAACTATCAGAATGATCGATGAAATATCCAAGTCAAATACTTGCTGTGAGATGGTGACACCTTCCATCATCAATCATACAATATAACATTTAACAACTGAGATTAGCACCTCATTTTTTCTATTCATTTATTCAGCAAAATTATTTATTAAGAACCTGATGTATACAAAGCCTTGAATGCTAGGTACAGGAAGAGACCCAAAGTTTGGATAGGATTTAGTGCCTTCCCTCATACAATTCATAGCTTACCAAAGGGATGAAATACAAACAGATATCGATATTGTGTATTACATGATAACTACATTAGAGGGATACAAAAACAAAAACCATGCTGAGGTCTATGGATGAAGATCATTAATACCTTGGGGAATTGGGGATCAGGGAGGCTTCATGGAAGAGGTGGCATTTGGACTGGGCTTTAAAGAATAATTAAAAATTCAATATATGTAGAATTGGGGGGGTCATTTTAAGCATATAGAAAGAACAGTATAAGCAAACACAGAAGTGGAAAAGCAAAAGGCAAGTTTAGGAATTAGAGCATGGTCATTTGGCTACAGTACAGAGTATACAGAGGGAAAATTTTATGATGTAAATTTGGAAAGGGAAGGTGTACTAGATTGTGGAGTGCTTTGAATGCTAATACTCAAGGTTAAGGTCTTTGATGTTAGGAACTATGTTGTTTTTTCTATCTCCAGTGCCTGGTATAGACCCTTGCATTTAGTTGGTGCTATTTCTTGGCATTGTTTTTCATTTTTGACTACATTTTCTTTTGTGCTTCCTTGCAGCTGATCCTGTTTCATTGTGGGCTTTAATGATCTTTGAAACCCTTGACTTTACCAACCCAACAGTTATCGCAGCATCTTGAAACGTGTGCTACAAATTTTACACATTTCTCTAAAGTAACATCCAGTCTTTCAAACCACTGAATTTAAAGTGCAACAAAAGAAACCAATGAAGCCAACATCTGTGGCATGAAATCTAGCACTCCACTGGCAGGTGATTAACTAAAATTAGGGAAACCAGCTCAAACCAGTTTCCCTTGGTCAAGGTCAGACTTCAGAATCAGCCTAGTGTCAGTAGATTCATTCCACCATGATCACTGCTGTCGCAAGATGCAAGCATATCAAAATTATTACTTGTAACCACAAGAATGTCTGGGACTCTGGGACAGTCTGGCACAGTCTTCGACAGGTGGTAATGCTGCTTCTGGGAAGGTCAAGTGGTCAGAATGGACTAATATGTTAAAGTCTCCTATATGAAGCCACTAAAGCATTGAGCCTTTAGAGAAGGAAATTCAGACTATTTTTGAATACACAAATGCAGAAAATTGTCAAAATTGCCTATCTCTGTGATGCTGATGAATATAAAGACTGTGCATGCTTATTATATAGTACCAACGTTTGCAGACTGCCAGTGCATCCTCCCCATGATACAGCTCTTCGGAGACAGTTGTTTCCCTCCTTTACTAGTGATGGACTGAAGATATGTTTTATCAGTGCATGGCTACTTTCAGTTAGAAATGAAATGTTTTGTTTCTAGTTAAAGGTCAATGATCTTTTTAGTTCCATGCTCTCCCCAAGAGAAGTGTCTATACAGTTACTGGGTGGAAAAAAGCGCTGTTAGGACTTCCATAACACAGTCTTCTTTCTGTCCCTTTAGGCAATGTCCACCTCAAGGATCTTACTTTTTTTTTTTTTGCTTTTGTTGGTGGGGCAATTGGGGTTGAGTGACTTGCCCAGGGTCACACAGCTAGTAAGTGTCAAAGATCTTACTTTCAATCTAGTCCAGACATCAAGCCTCCCTACAATAGATTGGAAGGAGTGACCTGGTGGTGTGCATATGGGATCCCTGGACATTCAGAAGGAGATTTAACTATTTGCATTTATTAAAATAGAAGTGCCAATAAGCTTGGCATCTCTCAAAAAAATTACTTGTTCCAAGTAATTTGTACACTGCTATAGGTGTTTCTGAGGATAGAAACATGTCTGAGAAACAGTCCAAAGTCTCTCCAAGAGGTCCCTCTCTCCTCCTCCAACTGCATTTGTTTTTAAAAATTTATTGGAAGTCATGTTCTATGCTGTTTGTACCGGGGCACAAAAATTGCTAGTTAATGGCTTTAGCTCCTTGAATATCAGGCTAATAAGTTTGTGCCTTGTCCTGTGGGAAAGGGGGAACTAGAGGAGTTTCTAAGTGGAGGTGGTGGTATTAACAGGAGTGAAGTGTTAATGACAATTTGAAAATAAACCTCTCTCTATCCTTCTTGTAAGTCCAGTTGGTGAACCTTCTAGGCTGTGACATTACAATGTGTAGTTCTTAGGCATGGTGACGATATCCATGCCTATGTTAGGGATTCCTCCTTGAAGGGTAGTCTTCAGGCTCTAAGTGAAGCCCAGTGGAGAAGTGGTAATGAAAATAAGGTTGAATTTGGGGTCAAATAAACAATAACAATAATAATAACAACCGGAATTTATATAGTAGTTAAAGGTTTACAAAGTGCTTTTTATGTGTTCACTAATTAGATCTTCACCATAATCTAGTGAGGTGGGTGCTACTATTATCCCCATTTTCAGATGAAGATACTGAGGCTGAGAGGTTAAATGACTTGCCCAGGGTCACACAGGTACTAAATGTCTGAGGCAGGATTTGAACTCATATCTTCCTGGTTCCAAGCCTGGCACTCCATGCACTGAACCTTCTAGTTACCTCTAATTTCAGGTTCAAATTCTAGTCCTGCTATTTACTACCTTTGTGACCTTGTACAAATCATTTCACTTCTCTGGGCCTAAATTTTACCATTGTTAAAATGAGGAGCTTCGGCTAGATGATCTCTAAGGTCCCTTCTTGCTTCATAACCTAGGACCTTAACTACACTTAAAATAGAAACTCATGTGACTGTTCCAACCAGCTCACTGCCTTCTCTTGTCTGAAAGTTCAGAGAACACAACAGCTTCTGTCAATTCAGCAATTCTGAGCAGCTCTTCTCAGAAGCCCTGCCCACTGACACCTGCAGCCGCAGCAGATGGAGAGCAAAAGGCTCAGAGTTATTTTCCTTTGGCTGTTGAAATGTTGAACTTGGTTGGGTACCATCTGGTTTTCTACTAGGACCAAGAAGGATTGATTGCCAACTGGGTCATGGAAGAGGGCAACCAATTGAACATACCTGCCCTTTTGCTTATCTTACCTCAATTCCATTTACCAAAGTCTTCTGATGGTTCAGCGTGGCTTAGAGATCATCTTGGGCTCCCGAAGGTTTGGATGGCAGAGGATAAATTCTGCCAGTTCCTACCAAGCTGGGAGGACTTCACATATGGACTTGGTAGTTGACTGTATGTCTATTTTCTGAGGAACAGTCTAACTTATTTCATAGAGTCTCATTACTGGGATGCTATTCTATATAGGTGGTGAATTTGGGGAGGGGAGGGTCATTTATGAAAACCATCTACTAAAGTGTGGATGGTGAGCCAAGTCAATGAAGGAGGTGCCCGCACTGATGAAATCATTGATCCTTGAAGCATCTTCAATCCACCTCATGTTCTCTAAATCTCTTCCTCCCACTATTCCCCAACTGACTCTCAGGTCTGTTTCCTCCTTCATTATTACAATATTTTGATCCATGAATCTGCTTAGGAAATCTGGAGACTAACAAACATGACTGTGGGGCTTTGGAAAAAGCTGGGAATCATTTGAATCCCAACTCTGTGGATGACTATCCATGAGATCTTGGGCTAGTCATTTCCCTTCCACTGACCCTTAGTTTCTTTTCCTAGATATTATACCATAGGATCATAGATAAAGAGCTGCACGGGGCCTCAAAAACAATCTAGTCCAGGCACCTTATTTTATAGATGAGAAAAGTGAGGCCTAGGTAGGTCAGGTGATTTTCCGAGGTCATACAGGTAGTAGGAGTCAGTGGTGGGATTTGAAACCAGTTCCTTTGCTTTTAGAACTAAGGCTCTTTCTACCGATCCCTAAAGTCCTTTAGAGTCCTCAGAATCTATAAGAAGCTATAGCCCTAGAAGTGGAAGGCACCTTGGAGTCCAACGCCATCATTTTAAAGAAAGTGAGATCCCTAGAGGTGGATTGATTTGTCCATGGTCACGTGGCTAGTAAGCCACAAAGCTGGGATTCAAACCAGGTCCTCTGACTCCAAATACAGTGGTACTTCCACTAAACCTCACTTCAACCTCTTCTGTCTTGAAATTCAATGCAAAGAGCAGTGGCTCCAAGCAAGGGGACTTGGGTTCAAATCCTACCCTTGACTCTTAATACCTGTGTGATCTAGGGCAAGTTCCTTAACCTCCTTGATTCTCAATTTCTTTGTCTATAAATTCACAGGGTTGCATACTTCCCCTGATACTCAATGGTTTTGAAGTCAGAAGACTTGGGTTGAAATCCCATCTCTGCCTCTTATTACCTGGGTTATCTAGGGCAAGTCACTTGAAATCTTTAGATCTTCATTTCCCTCACTGAAAAATGAAGGGATTGGAGTAGATGGCCTTCAAAGTCTCTTCTACCTCTTAAGTTCCATTCTATAATCCTGTAATCTTGGAATCTGTCTGAGCCTTTGAACTTCCTATTGCCTTTTGGATAAGATGACTTGTGACTTCCTTGTTACTCAGATTAGTCAGTAGCCATACCTAAGGGTCTAGTAGGTTAGTAGAGAAATGTTGAACACTGGCTGTGTGACTGTTTCTCTCTAGCAACTCATTGATGCACCCAATAGCTGTTTATTTCTCTTACAAAGAGTAGCTGGAGAATGTTCTGGTAAACCCTACCAAATTGAAAAGGCTTCAAATACAGGCCAAGGGACAGAATGTGTATTGGCTATCTGGGGCTGGCTCTTGCCAAATAAGGGATGTTAATCATCATAGGCCATCAGCAACATGCCTTAGGGACTGCCGGATCAACAAGCCCCAAGCAAGGGTGTGTGGATGGCACAGTGCATGCCATCACCACTCTTCATAAGGCCA